GTTTGCCTGTGTGTGTGTTTGTGTGCCTGTGTGTGCCACGTGTTGCCGCGTTTGTGGCGCGTAGCTTCAGACGGACCACAACTCAGGAGTGCCGCTGTGGTCCACAACATGCGGGTTGTGGTCCGCGGGGATGGTCTAGCCATTCTTGAGGTAGTCGACAGATTGCATTGCTGGAGCATTTATAATCTATAATCGAAAGACGACGTATGAGAACTATCATATAAATCTTTTATTTTATATTAGTGATGAATTTATCAGTGAAAAGTCCATATTCTTCGATGTTATAATTTAGAATCACTACATCAAAATATTTTGTAATGTTTTCGGTAGAATGCATATATAGCGGCGATTAATTAAACACTCTAATAGGTTTGATTCAAAAATTTGTAGAATTGCGAGAAATTAGAAAGTTTTAATTGGATTTCCATAGTCAAATTGAGCGTACGGTAATTATACAATTTGGAGCGTACGGTAATTATACAATTTGGAGCGTACGGTAATTATACAATTTGGAGCGTACGGTAATTATACAATTTGGAGCGTACGGTAATTATACAATTTGGAGCGTACGGTAATTATACAATTTGGAGCTTACGGTAATTATACAATTTGGAGCGTACGGTAATTATACAATTTGGAGCTTACGGTAATTATACAATTTGGAGCTTACGGTAATTTGGGTAATTAATTTACGGTAATTTATACAATTTGGGCGAAGGTTGTATTGCTGTGTACGGCTATAAGGTTCACATGTGCTATATCTCTTTGCAATATATCTTTTTACATCACAAGTGCAAGCCATATCTCTTTGAGATGCTCATTCGAGTGCCATATCTCATTACAATACCAAATAAACTTTCAACTATTCAATGCGCTGAGATTATATGCAGGTGTATACCGGATTGTATGAGCCTAGCATCGATAAGCGCCTGTTATTTATGTCTATTTATTCATCAAATTGAAGAATAAAATGTTACAAAAGATTATGTCTTCATACAGTGGGTTTAGTCTTCTGTTTTACGTGCGGAGAATTTTGTAGAGTAGGGAATTCAGGAGTTACTGAAGTGTATTTTTGGTCTAACTTATTGACTAAAGTAAGTGTATACTTGTCCCGCATCATGAGGCTATTGTGAAAGTTTAAACGGATGGATTTTTGTACGATTTAAGTAGAATAAAATAAATATTTAATGCTTCAGTTTTAGATTGTCTGTAATGCGGAGGAATTATTTACGCAAGCATAGCAATACAAAGGATACATTGAAGAGTAATAGTCGTACATGATCAAGATATGAACAGAGGCTGCTGTGTTATAATGAAGCTTCTCATGAGATTCTCGAATCACGTGGCGACCATTGATTTGATATTTGTTGTGTTTGGATATAGGTGAGTCTACTTTATTAAAATGTGTAATAATATAGTCATAAGACTCATGAAAAATGTTTACTAGATTTTGTTGTACATAAATATTCCGGATGCTGATTGAATTCAGTAAATTGAATAGTCCATTTCTCGAGCATTTTACTAGTTGGGTATCACGAAGTTCAAGGTAATGTATGCATGATGGATAATGTACGTATGTACTGTACGTATGTTGATGCAAGAGGCAGCGCGTTTATGTATAACAATTACAGGAAAATTATGAACTTCCTTCGTCAAGTCCAACCCAGGAGCTATCGACGTTTCCTAAATCGCCGTTAAACGTGTACGATTGCAGCCAAATGTGTTCATCCATTCAGTAATTCAGCCTTCACAATATTTCAGCCTATCATTCAGCCTTCACGATATTTCAGCCTATCATTCAGCCTTCACGATATTTCAGCCTATCATTCAGCCTTCACGATATTTCAGCCTATCATTCAGCCTTCACGATATTCCAGCCTATCATTCAGCCTTCACTATATTCCAGCCTATCATTCAGCCTTCACGATATTCCAGCCTATCATAATATTTGCGACTTCAGTCATGATTGCATATATTATAAGTAGTGAGGCACACGGCCGTGCTTGTCTACACTCAAAGAAATGAGCGAGAACTTACAAAATAGCGACACACTTTTTGTCCTTGTGTGAGTCATCCTGACCCAGTTTGGCCCGGCAAAAGAGCATATATCAATGTTATACGTCCGCTCTCTGCTCGTGCTATGGAGAAGAAGCCAATATATTTTATTTGAAGTTCGTAGTTTACCTTCATTGTGATTAAGTCTTTAAAATTATGAAGAAATGCTGAAACCACGTACGGTATACAATTTCCGGATATTATACTGATTTTACTTCCGTATATTATATTGATTTTACTCAGTATATTGTCCCGACGTATCATGCATCAATATAATTTAGAGGGATTTCGCCCAAATAAATATTAAATAATGTAATTGGTTTGCTGCTTGTGAGTAAAATTTTGCTAATTATTGCATAGGCAAGATATGAATAACTATCATAATCGTTGCAGAATTTGTAATAATTACAGTGAGACATTCCTGACGACGTTCCCGGCATTGCTGTGCAGCTCCGTCCTCTTGGCAGCTCCTTTAATAGCTCCACCACCTGCTCGTCTGACCCTTCGTCTACAGATACTCTGATCGTAACTAATGCTATTCCTACCTAATGGTCTGCTAACGACAGCCAGTGGGGATTAGCAGGCTACTAGGCAGACTACCAGGTAACCAGGCAGACCTAGCAGACACTGGAGTCTCTCTTCAGCGCCAGCTGTTCGCAGCAAGCAATAAAAACTGTCTTCATGTTCCCAGTAATTAAGTCAATCCTAAATATCAGTCTCAAGCTCCTGCTTATAAGGGCTGCAGTTACTGGCAGGTCTCAGTACAGACGGTATTGGGCGCTTATTATTGTTATTGCTTTTGGCTTGGCTAAAATTATTACGAAATTCACAGAATCTAAAATATTTCAATAACTCTGGCCTCTGCTCTGTCAAGGCTCGAGTGATAATAGGTAATCCAAGAGGATCTACCATGTAGACGAGCTACCTGACAGATGATCTACCTAGTAGTTTGTCTACGTGTTGGATGTTCTACCTGGTAAACTATATACCTGAAAATCGTTAATACTAAATACTTGACTAAAATCATGCGCTGTCTGCTAAACATGTGGCCTGAGATGGCTGGGTTATTGTAGATGTGCTCCCTAATTGGGTTATGGTGCACTGAATATTTGCCCTGAATTGCAAGATTATGAACGATAGTAAATTGCTGTTAACGCCTCTAATATTATTATACATATAAAATCAGGTGACATTAAATGATGGCACAGTGAGACAGTGTACAATGGCATTAAGCTGTCGTCATAATATCGTGACCATCGAACCGTCATGGTGACTGTGAAAGACTTTCATCGTCGACCAGAGCTTGGATGCACGATGGAGGAACTTAATGCATGTCTCACGAATTAAAGGAGTTAATAGGCTATAATCCAGTCTATGTTTCATTTAATCCGAAGGAGCAAATGTGCGAGACAAAGACGCATATGAGACCCTTCCCCCCTCACCCTCACCTTCACTCTCACTCTTTACACCTTCTCACCCTCACCCTTAGTTTTAATTTTAATTAGTTATAATCGTAAATAAACGTAAGTTTTTACTTATTAAAAGAAGAAACTACACATTATGGTCGAGGGACGACGTAACATTTTGCTTGGAAGAGTAAAACCTTCCAGACGGCAAAATGGTTCAATATCGACGAGCGAGCAGTCCGAGTCTAACAATTTTGTCCGAAAATATGCATGCCTTTGTAAATGCCTTTCGAAAAGTTGAAAGACAAGGAATTATTGAGGATATAAGACAGCGATACGAGGGATACATTCAGACACGCCACGCTCTTATTAACTTCAGGTGAGCAGATGTAGCTTGTACACCTGCCGACACAGCAGCTGTGCGTGCAGTGTACAGCTGCTGTGTACTCGTACAGCTCTTCGTACCGCGTCAGTCTTGTAGTGCTGGTGATGCAAGTACTGCTGTGCTTATGTGCTCTGCGATGTTTCCGTCTCTGTGTGCACATCTGAAATTTAAAAGTAAATGTTCTTGTAGAATAAAGATTTCGTTTCATGTAGGAATATAATCTCAATTGAAGCCCGATTTTTTAAAATCAATTGTAATCTCAAACTTTTTATTAGGGCGCTCCACGTCGTGCTGCCAGCGTGGAAAATTTAGTGTTATTCTTTGCGTGGGTCCAAAGTTGGTATAGAAACTAATAAATTCACAAAAAAGCAAACAGGAAGCAGCCGCAGTAGACAAAAGACACTTCATTGCTTAGTCAGTCATACCGTACGTTATTTATACATCGTTTTAACGACGGCTCAAATACAGAGACCAATGAGCTAAAGATTTTCATAGATTAAACATTCAAGGAATAAGCTCCACATTAATATTAATTGGGCATTAGAAATTAAAAATTTGCTCACCTCACTATAGTTTTTGAATTAGTAATAAGCACTAGGTATGTTTCTGACGACGTAGTTGTACGCTGCGGTGATGCCGCATACTAATTCTGTGACCCCAGAGCATCGGGTGTGTCTGGTTGCACTCAACCGCATCTCGTCTGCCGGTGAGTCCTGTCGAAATATCGTGATCACATTATCGTTACGATGACAAATTACGGAATGTCTGATTGGTGTCAACTTCATTGATAGGACCGAACTCCTACAGCAGCGTTCAAGCTGTAGGTCGTATGGGATTAACAATAATAATTGATAATTATAATATCAAGTTGCAAAATCAAGCGCCATTTGCTTGTTAGCATGAAAGAAGGCGGAGAGAAAAATTGTGCAATCTCGATTCAGTGAAAATTCAATGGCTGCAAAAACAAAGGATACAAAGATGGCGGCTCCACATTCTCTGTCGGCTCCACATTAACAAACGACTCCACATTCTGTAAAGCAGGGAAAATATTCTAAATTTCAGCAACAGTTAACGATGTTTACAGCTCAAGGAAAGTCGGGAATAGAATCAGATAAAAAAAAACAGAAGCGAGGCGGGTCAAAAGTCAGCTACTGCGCCCTGACGCCATCAGCTCGCAGGCGTCAAAGGTCAGCTCCAGATGAGCAGCATCCGCTCCTCTCCATCGCAACTTCATGCTGTACATTTCACTGATTAAAAAAATAGATTTAAATAAAATTGAGAATATTATGAAACCATTGGTAACATTGTTATAATGGAACTTGTCTCATAGTTTGATTTCTTCCCTTAATGGGGACACATTAATAATAATGATATCCGTAAATAATATAATGATGTCCGTATGACATCACAAGAAATCACAGGGCATCGTATATATGACATCGCAGGACATCACAAGACATCACAAGACATCACAAGTCATCACAAGACATTGGTCAAGCTCCTATAATGTGTATCATTAACTTGTAATCTTTGATTAGTATCTTTTACCCTCAATTAAGCAGTTAAATTATCAACCTTGACTAAACTTATAAAGTACACCAAGGCGCCGTGCACTCAGTGTAATGAGTAGGACTGTACAAATATCGATACCCCTCTCTGCTTCTGACACTATTACCCATTCAGTTCTCTGGGTGATCTAGGAGTGTTGATGAACAATCAGGTCAATTTTAATTGGTGATCACATACCGGCAATAACCGCAAAAGGTAGACAACAGATGGGGTGGATCTGGCGGACGTTCAGAACGAGAGAAGCGGAACCGATGATCACGCTCTTCAGAGCCCTTGTAATACCTATCCTTGAATACTACATGCACAATACCTGCCGACCGCTGCGCTGCCACGCGAGTTTGGTGCCGATGCCCTCAGGGCAGCTGTGAGCGACTCATCTGCCCGGGACAATGGGGCACGCATTCGCCAAGGTCACATTCATGTCAGTTTAATCATTTTTAGCGCACTTCCTCCTTTATGAAAAAAACACGCATTCTCCAAGGTAACATTCATGTCAGTTTAATCCTTTTTAGCGCATTTCCTCATTTATGAAAAAAATGCGCGTTCGCCAAGGTCACATTCGTGTCAACTAAATCCTTTTTAGCACAATTTCTAATTGATGTAGAAATGAACTATTGTGCTTGCCATGTCCGTCTGTCTGTCTGTCCGTGACTTCACGTTTTCGTCGACGAGAAAATGCGCTCTCTGTCACTCACTGCAGTGAGTATGAGGTATATATTTTTTTCTATATCAGTTGGGAGCATTTTGGTGATTACTTTAATCACTTATAGAAACAAGCTTTATGCTCTTCATATAATTATGATGAACATAATTATCGCACTAATGAGTTGCACACGAACACCGTGCCTGCATATTTCCCTGCCTTGCATTATTGTGGTCATATTTCACGCAGGCTGTAGTATTATTTCTTATCATTGATGCGAGGTTTGATCTCTGGAGGTCATTGGGTCCGGTCGATCTGGATGGCTTTCTACTGATAAATTCTTGTTTAAAGTATGCCTTTTACTGATATATGCTCGGTATAAGTATGATTTGTAATGATGTATGCTCGCTTTAAGTATGCTTTTAATTATGTATGCTTGGTATAAGGTTGCTTTGTACTAATATATGTCCAACATATGCATGCCATACACTGATATGAGCTCGGTACATATATGCCTAAAAATGATAAACATAATAAAATCGCCTATAGTGATTTTGTAACGAATATTAGAGCAGTCAACGATATTCTATATTAACGATTGTGAGAGCAGCGAATAATTTTCTTCATTGATGATCATTTGAGCAATCAAAGATATGCTTAATAATGATTATTAAAGTATCAACGATATCTGTCATCCCTCCCAGGTCCATCCCACTAAACATCTAATGTTGAATCAACATTGAATTAAACGTTATATGGTTGAATCGACCATAATTCAACGTTGTTTCAACGTCATTTGAATGGGGAGATTAATTGCAGTGAGTAATAAAATTCACGAAACAAGGTTTCAATTTAAGTCATTGTAGCAAATTTTGTTTACTAAACATGAAGTCATTTATTACTTCGGTCACTGTTCCGTTATTCACACAATGACTTTGTATAATTAACGGATTATTGCAATAATAAATATTTTCAATTCAAATCAACCAAGTTACAGCAGGACATCGGTAATCAGTGCACGTTCTAACTAATTGCTTGATTCTCGATTAAGTTGCGCGTGGCACGAATAATTAATAAGATCAAGCTAACATGATTCGAATAATTGAAAGGTTTTAACATCTGATTATTCTCTAATGATTGATGCAATATTACAGGATGTCGAGATGACGCACATGACTAACTAAGATATTTTTACTGACGAAGTTTGTCGCTTTTTACATTCGATATAAGTAGTGTACAGTATGATTAGTGTGGTGACTTGTGCTGCTGGGCGGTGTGATGGTGAGTGTGATGGTGAGTGTGATGGTGAGTGTGATGGTGAGTGTGATGGTGAGTGTGATGGTGAGTGTGATGGTGAGTGTGATGGTGAGCGCCTGTCCCTCCTCAGCTGCGCCTGTCCCTCCTCAGCTGCGCCTGTCCCTCCTCAGCTGTGCCTGTCCCTCCTCAGCTGCGCCTGTCCCTCCTACGTAACCGCCTGACGCAAAAAATTTTAAAACTCCATGCCAAATAAAATGAGATTTTTCAGGCACAATATATTCACAAAATCGATTGAACATTTCAAATTATTTGCATAAATAATTTAGTTTAAGTTTTTATTTTTTAGTAACACTGAACATCATAATGGCCATTGATGTGATCTTTTCGCCAGTGATGTAATATTTTGTTGTGTAATTTTATTGCAACTTTGATCGCTATGGGTTGGAGGTTCAGTAAACACTTCCATATTCAAGTCATGAATTACAGCGCAGTACGCCGTGTAATTATGATTAATTTATACGTTGATATTCCAATTATAAACCGATCTTATCTCATTGATATTATAAAACTGAACAGATAATATTTTACTGAAATACTGACGCTATACTGAGCATTTCTGAGGTGATCATAGGAAGACTTACTTCAGAGCATCAGGGCCTTTTCCCCATGTTTCCATCAGAACTGAGGTGATTATAGGATTATTCTGGACATTTCTGAGGTGATAGGAGGAGGTGATTCTCTATTTACTTCAGAGCATCAGGGGCTTTATTTCTGTTTCCATGAGAACATTTCTGACGTGTTACTGGCCGCTGTGTTGTGAGAGGCGAGGCTTGTGGCCGCGACTGTCGCTCATCTCACACAATGGCAGGATTTCCTGCCTTGTGTGTGTTTGTGTGTGTACACGTCACACACGTGTACGTATCAAGAGCGTACACTTGTACTGTACACTGTACACACGTGCACGTATAGACAGCGCACACGCGTACTGTAATCTGTACATACATGTACGTGTAGACTGCGTACACGCTTAGCAAGTACACCCAAGCACGTGGATGAGATGTCGCCGGGTAACTGGAGTGCGTGAGTTAGCTAACGAACGTGAGATTAAATGATTGTGACGCTCGACTAGGGATTGCTTGTGCGGTATGAGTTATGTGTAATTAATACAAAACAACACACTCAAATGATGTTAGAGACTATTTACATCCATGCTTGTTCTATGCTATGTTGCGTGTGTTACTAAAATTGTTATTTAATGAAGGGTATACGTATGAACAGCCACACACCGAGCATCCATGCCGTACGTCGTTCGATCTTGAATACCAGCCGCTGTAAACTAAAATGTATTGATCGAAAGTTCCATCATGATTCGTTGCCGAAAGTTTGAGAACTTGGAAATCGTTCAAAATAAAAAAGAGTTGAGAAATAGCTCATAAAATGTTATATATTTCCTTAATTTTCATCTATTTCCGTCGCATTAATTGTCCACAAAAGACAATTAATGGACGACGTGTTTCTATTGTAAGTAGTGCGCCTGATGTTAGGCTTAGATTTTTCCTGAAGGAACTAATTTGAAGCATTTCCTGTGGACATTAATTGGTTACGGACATGACATAAAGATATAAATACTTGAATGCAGATGGATACGCGGACTTGTAAAGTTTAAATACAATTATGGATCACTCATAATGAAATATAATTTCTCGATGACTATGATTTTCCTCATGCGAGCGTCAATGAGCACATTTTAGACACTCAATACAGTTTCGCAACGATCCAATCGCGACGTATTGTGATTGTTTCATGATTTCGCGACGATTGGTCGATATTACAATTCTGCGCGAGAAGCGAAGAGAGAAAAAGCAGAGAAAGAGAACAGAGAAAAGCAGAGAAAGAGAACAGAGAAGGAGCAGTTACAGAGAACAGAGGAAATGAACAGAGAAAAAGCAAGTTCATCAAGAAAACTACATTGAACTTTCTTTTGTTTAACTGCAGATCGAGTATTAGTTGTTGGTCTGCACGCGGATATAGGAAGCGATGTCAGCCGAGTGGCATGATCTGCTGAGCCAAGCATTCCACGTACGGCATGCAGCCACATGTGCACGACATGCAGCCACATGTGCACGACATGCAGCCACATGTGCACGACATGCAGCCACATGTGCACGACATGCAGCCACATGTGGACCGGTTCCTTCGGCTCCCTGGGATACCGGAAGACCTTCCGTTGTCTCATG